TGCTTCACATACTTTGTGGAGTACAAGAAACAATCCCAAGTGACTGTAACATCAGGAAGGAGCTTCTTCCTGATGTTACAGTCACTTGGGATTGCTACATTTATCTCCAGTCTTTTTCTGTAGCTTGTCAATCACCACATTGTCTGGCTGCTTAACCATCACCTGTTTGTCAGTCTGGATCTGGAAGTCCACCAGTATCTTAGACCTGACCACCTCCACTAACCTTTGTGGAGTCCAACTGTGGGACCACCAGCTTGTACTCGGGACGGATGTTCCTGTACACTTAGTTATGTTGCTGCATGTGTACTTTGCCTGCCTTCATCTTACTGGACAGTCTCAAGGGCATCTTTGCACAGCATATTGGGTTCTGTCTGTTGTTGTAGACCCTGGTGTTGTGGCGGTTGTAAATGAAATAAGGAGACAGCAGGTAAAACTTTATTGCATGACTGATATCAGGACAGACTCCTCAACATAACTCTCTTTAAGTCTCATTCTTTTTCAGTCTTACAAAAACTCTATCTTAAATTTCTTTCCTAAAGATAGTGTGCCTCTCTTGAGAACGCAATATTTGAAATTTCCTATTCCCCCCAAAATGAAAGAAATTCATTACCGAACATTTAATAATATATGTATCCCTCGAATGACTTTTTGCAACAGCGTTTTGGGTTTGAAACGAACTGTTGTTCTTTCTGTAATATTGATGTCGAAACGACCGACCATTTATTTTTTCATCGTAATTTCTCTGGTATTTTTCGGCAAGATGTTCTTAAATGGTTACAACCTAGTTTTTCGCAGCTGGAAAATTTCTGTCAGAAAGACATTATTTTTGGACTTATACTGGACTGCAAAAACACATCCCTTTTAGTGAACACTGTTATAATTTTTGGTAAATCATATATACGCAAAGCCAAATGTAAAAAAAAAAAAGTCCCCCATATTTTGTGTCTTTTTCAATGAGTTTCTAATCTATGTAAAAGCCCTTAAAATTATGGTATCTCCTATAGCTAAGAAACTTCTAAATATCATTGAAGAACATAATTTAGCAGTTTTGTAGCTTGTAATTGCCCGTTTTCAGTGTTTTGTTATATATATATATTGATTTTATTTTATTTATTTTCTCTTTAAGTTGTCTGTTCTGCACCTATGCCTCTTTATTTTGCATTTGAATACGTATTTGTAATACTGCCTTGTGATTTGTATAAAGCTTTTAATAATAAAAAAAAGTCTCATTCTTTCGGCACTTCTGTTTTCCACCAGTTTCCTTTGCTGTATGATGTCCCAACAGTGCCATCTAGTGACCAGAAATAAAAACAGCTAAAACAGAGCATATGTGCACTGTGTACACTTCAGAACACAACCACAACACTCAGCCTCTGATTTACTGGTATCAGCCAGTTCCTCAATCTGCAGGGGCTTACGTTTCTTTGATGGTCCCTTTCATTTAGAATAGAATAGAATAGAATAGAATAGAATAGAATAGAATAGAATAGAATAGAATAGAATAGAATAGAATAGAATAGAATAGAATAGAATAGAATAGCCTTTATTGTCCCACAGAGGGGAAATTTAGGTGTCACAGCAGCATCCGTACAGAGGTTCACACACTAGTTACTTTACAAACTATAGATAGTGCACACAAAACAAAAATTAACACTGACTAGCCAATACGACTACTACTAATAAAAATATAATATAAAAAATTGTGCAAGGATAGAAAAAAATACATGTTTTGTTTTAGAGACAGTAGACAATCAGAATCCGACAATCAGAAATTGCCTGTTTTCAGTGCAAAACAATCTCAACAGACCAATAACTGTAAAGTGAAGTATCACAATGCAGACAAGAAACCCAGGTGTGCAATTACAGCAGAGTAGCAGTGCAAATGATTGTTCAGTTGAGTAATTACAATGAATATTAACGGTACAAATGATTGTGCAGCAGACTTATTGTTATTTTTGTGAACACTTGTTGTGAGTTTTGGGCGTGGTGCTAGTATAAGAGTCTGACAGCTGCAGGGAGGAAGGATCTGCGGTAACGCTCCTTTGTGCACCTCGGATACAGCAGTCTGTCGCTGAAGGAGATCTGTCCATTCCCTGGATGTTCACCGGTGTCAATGGGGTGGGTCTGTGCCTGCACGTCTCCTCTTTCACACTAGATTTCTGCTACCTGAGACATTCACTGAGAAGTTCATCACTGGTGTCTTTCCTCCCACATAATTTTAGTTGTTTCGTCCTGATTACTGGCTCTGATGCTTTCTCCCTCCTTTCAGTTAGTGTACAGATCAGAGTGCTGGACTTGGGGGTAAAACCTCAGTGCATTTGTGTGGAGCGTTCCTGTACCATATTAGCTGTGTATCTGATGGCTGGCTCTGCATATGTTGATTCATTTTACTGTCGTTTAGCACACTGGTTTTGTTGTATGACTTTAAATGAAAGCTCAGGGGTTTAAACCCCAGTTCCAACATCAAGTGACCTCAAAGGGTTATGAGTGGCAGACATAGGAAAGAGGCCAAGACAACTCAGGCATTGCCTGGATTAAGAAAGTTTGTGTCAGATGTTGGGGAACTTAACACAGATGAAATGCTGCTATACAAATAAAGCCCAAAGAAAAAGTCTATACAGGAAGGATATACATCTTCACACACAAATTCTTCCATGTGACTGCGTTTTTGTTTGCAGCCGTGTCCTCAATTTCTATTGGACAGCAAACTATGCGTAAATAAACAATGTTTATGCTAGCATCACTGCGATTTACAGGATTAAAAGCAGTAAGCTGCTTTATGTTAAGAATAGTAACAATAAGTGGAGCAGTCTGAGACGTGCAGACAGTGTGAGGAGCGTGGAAAGCAGCAGCTCGTCATCAACTGGGGTTATCGGACACCTTTTGGTTTAATAGGAGTCATCTGGAGTTCACTTTTATACGTAAGTCTTAAGCTTTTATGAGACTAAAATATGCAGGAGATGTATTAACTTGTCAGAATGAACCTCTCAAGTTTACTTTCCAAAAGACACACAGTCACAAAACTCTGACAGCATCTGACTGACAGTTTTTATTGTACTCAATTAAAGTTATTTTTTTTGCATTGGATAGTATACAGTTTTATTAGTGATGTAAAAATCTGATAAAAGATAAACGTTTGCAGTTCAGTTTCTTTGTATTGGTGCACTCTCAGACACAGTAAAGAAAAACTTTTCTAAAAAACATTATGCTATGTTACACTTTACTAAGTGAATGGATTATGATGTGTGTGTGTGTGTGTGTGTCTACATTATATATTGTGTATATA